ATCGCTCCGGGCTAGGCCGAGCCGGGCCTCGCCTCTGCCGGGAGGGAAGGGACGGGGCTGGAGGCACTCGCCGGTAGAAACGCCGGGCTCCAGCCGGCGGGGGCCGGCAGCGGTCTCCGAGATGGAACCCGGCTCGGTCTCATTGCGCGCTGGGCAGTGTTTCTCCCGATGGTCCCTGCCTTTTCCCAAAGGTGGGAAGAACTTGTCGGACCACCGGAAGTTGTTATTCGCGCTATGCCGTTTTAATCTCATGGGTTCCCGATGGGGAGATTTTGCCGGTGGTGGTTGCGGTAGTAAAGTTAGTGAAATTGTGATGACAGGGTTTTGATAGGTGAGCAGTTCTGCTGTGTCTGCTGAACATCAAAAGGACACAATTTAGATGTGTCAGAAGAAGTCCTTCTTCTGTACTAAGGACATACCTTACTCTATTGTAATTGTGTTTTTAGCCCAGTATTGCACTGATCTGTTTTGGCTTCTTTCAATGATTTCTGGGAGAGGTCTTGAAAGCATAGGAGTGTGCTTCCTATTATCACTGCTTTCAGAAAGTCTCCAGTCCCAGTCCATCTGCTGCAGTGAACCAAAATAAAGAGGAAAAGAAAAAAGAAAATGAGGCTGTGAACCGACCTCAGAATGAGGTAAGTGGCTATTGTATACTACATAGTAATAGAAGAAAGTGTGTTTGGTTAGGTTCGGAAAAGCTGCTGAAATCTGAAATACTTTGCTCTATTTTGGAATCCTCCATTCTGGGAAGAAGGCTTGCTATAGGATGCTTCTAGGAAAAAAAGTCATTATTGAAGAGCTTAATCTTGCATGTAATTAGTACAGTGACTTATACATTCCTAGATCTCTTCATTTTATGTAATACAAAGATTTGGCCGGTTGGGCAATAAGGGTCGGAGTACTGTGGTTCCTAAAGAGAGTGATGGTTCATGAATAGTTAAATGGTGTATATGATGACTGAAAGAGAATGTTGGCAGCACTAGCTGTAGTTGAGTAGATCTTCACAATTCACCTTACGCTGAGCTAACGGAAGCTCCCTCTGAAGTATCTTATTTTAATCTGATGCTTTGAATGGACTGGCAGAAGTGAGGGTTTGTAGGAGTGATCCAGACTTCTCTAGGAGGTCATCCAAATAGAAATTGTGGGGAAGGAATATAGGCTGCTTTGTGAGGTCAGACTCACAAAGCCATTTAGGCCCAGACTGATGAAGGTGCATTGGAAAGCTGCAAAGCCGCTGTAAAATAGTCAGCAAGTTGGATGGGGCTATCCTGTATATAATTATTTACAGACCCTTTACTGCATATTAGTATAAGTTCTCATACAGTGGAATTTGGTCTCAGTTGGAACCTCTATAGGGATGCACAACCACTCTGAGTCCTTTTACTTTATTTCTCCCACAAATATGTATGTGTATGGTATCAATTATTTGTTACAGCTACAGTGTGAGCCAAGCTTCATAGAAGACAGACTGAAGCTTTACAGAGCACTGAAAAAAGAACATGATGCTTTGCTAGCTTACAGAGCAGCCAACCAGAGCAAACCTATCAAAATTACTCTGCAAGATGGAAAGATGGCTGAAGGGGAATCTTGGAAAACCACGCCTTATCAATTAGCTGTAGGAATTAGGTAACCTGTAGAGATATTCAAGGAATTGTACTTTTGTAGTGATAAATCTGTTACTGTCATTTGTCTTTTAAATTGTTGCATAAAATAAGCATGTCACAGTCAGTGGATGGTGACTCTCTTAAGTTGGTTCATTTGGAGAGCATTGAAGCTTCTGCCTAATGCAGAAGAAGCAGCTGGGTGAAGTCACTGTTCTGAGTGATGCTTGAGGCTCTGTGCTTGGATCAGAATGCTTGCTTCCCATTAAAAACAAAAAAAAAAAGAACAATTGGCGAGACTGCTATGAATTAGAGACATCTGAAATTTTGGGAGTTAACAGATAACAGCAGAAACTTGCTAGAAGCAGTCTTTCCTCCAGATCCGCAGCTCTGAAAACCACTGAGTGAAACTTTGAGACGTTAAAGAGTCTATACCTCAAAGTAGAAAAGCGTTTGAGAAGACCATAGAAACGAACATGCTGTAGATGCTGTAAGATGTGGGTGGACAGTGTCACTTCAGCAAATCTGAACCTAAATATTTTTGTCTCTTGCCATCATTTGCGGTTTTTAGTCAAGTATTGGCTTCAAATGCAGTCATAGCCAAAGTGAATGGCGAGTTGTGGGACCTGGATCGCCCGCTGGAAGGAGATTGTACTCTGGAGCTGCTCATGTTTGATAACGAAGAAGCCAAGGCTGTGAGTAGGCGTTCTCTGTGCTCCGCTTGATTAAAGGAAATAATGACATGAAATTGATTGCAGAATTATGCTTTTAAAACTGAATTTTAAAAAACAAATCCCCCAAACTATTCAAGTAATATTTTTGTTATGATTCTACAAAGAAGGTTAGATACTAAATACCTGTAATCTGTAGGTGCATAAAATCTTAGTCTTCTTTTCTTCCCTTGTTTTACGTAAACAGGTTATTTCTCAAGCAGGATTGTACAGTATGTCTTGATTTGTATGCTAACTTGAAATAGTTTGATGTCTTCTAAGATGTGTTCTGTGCTTGGACTCGGTGTTCTTGAAGATCAGACACTGAAAGTAACAGTGAGGCTGTCTCAACAGTTCTCTAAAAATTGTCCAAAATCAGAGTTGAGTCATAAATTAAAGGTACACGTCCTTGTACTGGCACTGTTTGTTAGTTACTTAAGTAGGCATATCTTAATTGATTAAACTATGAATATACTTAGTGACACAGCCAAGATTTTTTTTAATGGGGTTCAATCTTAAGCCTATGTTTATCTCTATGCACTAGAATTAGACTTAATCGCATGAATAATTCTTTAACAAAGTGAAGCTTGTCTAAGGCCTTTCAGGAGCTTGTAAAGGCTTTATTTTGTAGCAGTGGTTCTAAAGTGATCTGAATTAATAGGGACTTATAACAAGACTGATAATGATCTACTGGTTTGTTGACTCCCCTTCTGACATTCCAGGCAATGTGGTTTACAGTCCTAAATGTACTCTTTTGTGGACAGTGGTCCCTTAACTGGCTACATTGGTTTAGATGTGTTCAGCAACGCATAAGCTTTTAACTGATGGGAAATTAACTCACAAATGAACAAGGTACAATAAGTACTAAGGTGGTAGAATCATGGAGTGGTTTATTCATCTTTCAGACGGAAATATGGTGGGGCTTTATTACTGCATCTGCCATTGTATTAATCATTTAGCACACTTAAAAATGAGAACAGAAAATTGTTGTCCTTCTCACAGAATTCGAACAACATTGATTCCAGTGTATTTCCCATCTGTAGATATACCTCTGTTTTTTCTTTCTAGTTACACAATGCTAATGAGCTCATGACTTGCTCACCTGACTTTACTTGCAGGTTTATTGGCATTCAAGTGCTCATATTCTTGGAGAGGCCATGGAAGGTTATTTTGGGGGCTGCTTATGCTATGGACCACCAATTGAGAACGGATTTTATTATGACATGCATATCGAAGATAGGTAAAATTTCACTCTCTTAAGAAATTTTAATATTCTGTATTGAAGCTTAGTACTAGAATTATAGTTCAGTCGTGTTTCTGCATGTTAGGAGTAAAATCATGTATCTAATATGGCTTAAAACTGACAGGTTGGTCTCCTGTGTGTCCATATTTATTGAGTGTGCATATATTTAAATTCAAGGGCAGTGTTCAGACACCTGCTGTATGAGACTTATAGCTGTTGAATGTTCTGTGAAAAAAAGTGTGGAGTGTTTAGGTAAAACTTTCTAAAGTTCCTGGAAGATCAAGGGGACAGTTTCTTTGAACCATGGGATTTTTGGTGTATAAGTGCCATAGTCACTTGTGGAAATGGCACGTATACATGTAACTCATATAGGTGTTTGCCACTTTCTAATCCTTGTGTACAGCTTTATGGCCCTGTTTTTTTCTGTTTATCTTTCTGTAGTCAGAATACTGAATCTGCATCAGCTGATAAACTAACTCTTGCAGCTGGGTGGCTGAGCCTTTTTTTTTTTTTTTTTTTAGCTTTTTTCTTAAATCATGTATACTTTGAGCTACAGATCTTTCAGACATTTAAACATGTGTCAAAGACTGTTCTAGAAGTGATGGCAGTGGATTTGTTCAGGGTGATACCATTTGTGTTCCTGAGTTTAGTGTCTGAAAGTACAGGGAATGATAAGAAACTAAGAAAATACGATGAGAAGTCCCAGCAACACATCCTATGTTTTTCAGGTTTGATTTCTAGGAAGCAGTCCCTTAAAAAATGGGAATAACAAAATAATTTCTTTTGCATGTGTCTTTTTGTTTAGAGGTGTATCTAGTACTGAACTACCACTACTAGAGAACCACTGTAAAAATATCATAAAAGACAAGCAGGCTTTTGAGAGGCTGGAAGTCAAAAAGGAGATCCTGTTAGACATGTTTAAGGTAAATATTGGGAGTAGTTATGATTCTGTGATACAGTGAACTTTTAAAATGTAACTTTTATAAAATACAGCATGTGGCTGATTATCAGGACAGTACCTGCCTAGTAAAACAAAGAACAGCATCCTCGTCCCTTTCTCTATATTCCCATTAATTGTTGAGGATGTTTTCAGGCAATAACAAACTAGTTGTTTCTTATTACACAAAAACACCTCAAACTCAATGAGATGACAAAGAAATTGGTATGCAGAAGGCATATGTTCATTCTGGCTCACCTGCAGAGACAATTAAAGAACACTGTCCTCTAGTCTTCTGTTTTATGCAGTGAATATTATCAGCCTCACTGTACTATGTTTTAATTGCCTTTTAGAAGTGCTTTGAGGTGTTCATGTGGTAATCACTTACCCTCAGGGATATGAAAATATTGTCTATTTCCTCTCTTGTTTTATAACTCTTCTGAAAGGATGTTGAAGTTTTGCAATAGGTGTGTGATCATGTGATTTATTTTTTTTAGTTGTTTCTTTTACTGATTCATTACATTATTACATCATTTCAAAATAGAATTTTGTTAACCTTTTTCTTGATGTTTCTGGCTTGTCATGTTTCTCCACACAGTATAACAAGTTTAAGTGTCGTATACTTAATGAGAAGGTGAATGCACCAACTACCACAATATACAGGTAAAGAAAGTTAAAAGGTATTATCAAATGAAATTATGTAGATAGGTATCTTTCATTTAAATTGAGAGAAGAAGGAATTTTTTTTCCAACCTCTGAAACTTGCAAACTTGAGTCCAAATCACACAATTAGAAATTTGCAGTTGCAATTTGCTACTTCTGTAAGATTGAATCTTTTCTTTCTCTGCTAGGATAGATTAAGTCTCAGTTCGTGGACAAGTGGCAAATGCATTTTTCACTCATTCTCTCTGCTTTCAATAAACATATTAAAATAAGTTACCACACATGACGTTGAATTGATGGATACTGACTGAAGGTAACTTTTAGCTCAGTATGGATGGAGGAACCTGTTCATTCAATTGACAGGGATAAAACTAGTTAGTTGGAAAATGGCAAAAACTTTTTTTTTTTTGTTTGATATGCATAGTTTGAGATTTCCTGGCCAGCTTTAACAAAGTTTACATATGGAATTGCTGAGTGTGTTACAGTGCTCTTGGTAATGGGTGAACTGTGCTGAGTATTTACTGAATATTGTGCTTCACACAGAAGGCACAATTAGATTTAAGATGCACTGAATTTGCTGACTGTTGCATAGGAGTACTTATTTATGTATTAGAAAATGTCAAGAATCAGTTTGTATGCTGTTAGTGACTGTATTTAAGGGTGTTGGAGTATTTTAAAGTAAACACTTTTTTCTCTTGGTACACAGATGTGGTCCACTGATTGATCTCTGCAGGGGTCCACATGTGAGACACACGGGAAAAATTAAGGCACTTAAAATATTTAAGGTAAATTTAAATTAACTGCATTGAAATTTAAATAAATAAACTGACCCATGGTTTAGTTATTTATTCCTTCTGAACTGATTATGCTAGGGTCCCTTGTATTGTTTCTTTGCTCTGAAAATAGTCCTTCATTTCTTTCCCAGCTCCCATTGTGCAAGTAGAACTACAGACCTTAATAATTCATCGGCTTCCAAAGTTTACTGATCCACGACCATCACAATAGTACATCAGCAAAAGATAATAGCATTTCTTTTTGTCAGAGTACTGGTGCAGAAATATGCATACTTAGACTATAACGAAGAGCTCGGCAAAAACACTCTGAGCTAGCTAGTAGTGGTGCTTAGCTGTGGAACCAATTATACCATGCTCAACAGAAAAGTGCAGCATCCAAGCTAATGTTACCGTGCTAGCATCTGCAACCAGTGCTGTAATTTGTAGTACAGATGTCTTAGTTTTGAGCCTGTACTAACTGTCACATCTGTGTGTGGTGTGTGCATGTGCTCTGTTTTGCATTAAGGGAACGTTCGAGAAACTCACTGGGTCAGAATATAGTACTTTGACCTTGTAAGATAGTATCTTTCAGACACAGGAGGTAAAGTGGACCCTGGCACATCTGCAGGTGCTGCTGTTTAAAAATGGCATTGCCCACAGGAAGGCCATGAAGTGTTTTAAGTTGCTTGCAGATGGTAATTTTGGTAATCTTATTAGACTGACCCAAGAATTTTGCCACAAAAATTCTTGCCACAAAAATGATCAGAGGGCTGGAGCACCTCTCCTATGAGGACAGGCTGAGGGAGTTGGGGTTGTTCAGCCTGGGAAAGAGGAGGCTCCAGGGGGACCTTATAGCAACCTTCCAGTACCTTAGAGGGGCCTACAAGAAAACAGGGGAGGGACTATTCACAAGGGTTTGTAGTGACAGGACGAGGGGTAATGGCTTTAAGCTAGAAGAGGGTAGATTTAGGTTACGTGTTAGGAAAAAGTTCTTCAATCTGAGGGTGATAGATCACTGGAATAGGTTGCCCAGACAGGTGGTGGAGGCCCCATCCCTGGAGACATTCAAGATCAGGCTGGATGAGCCTCTGAGCAGCTCGACCTAGTTGGAGGTGTCCCTGCTTATGGTGGGGGGGTTGGACTAGATGACCTTTGGAGGGCCCTTCGAGCCCTGACATTGTATGATTTTGTGACCCCACTGGGTCACTATGTTCATCATAGTTGCTTTTGCTGGCTTCCTAACTGAAGTTTATGGAACTTGAGTTCCAGGGTTACATGTAAGGTTGTCAAAAGAGCAAGGATTTAACTGTGAGAGTGAGTTTTGGTTTATCTATTGTGTTTCCCCACCGCATTATATTTTGTAGGTAATCAAGTGCTGCTTTTTTAGAAGATAAGTGTGAGATAATAAAACAGGCCATGATGTGAGTTAAAACAAAATACCTAAGTAGAATAAATGTATGACTTGACCAATCACTTTTCTTTGTCTTCTCTATTAGTATGCTGACTAAAAGGCAGTGTAAATATCTTTGTATTACAAACAAATGCTGGATGAATGCATATAATAATTTTCCCAAGGAAAAAAAATCATATAACATTTGTATGCAATAGTGTTTATTCCCTCTTTTTTTTTTTTTCCCTGAGATTATATAATATCATCTTAAAGTGTGGGTTTTGTGCATCAGAATTCCTCTACGTATTGGGAAGGAAAATCTGATATGGAAACCCTGCAGAGAATATATGGGATATCCTTTCCTGATAACAAAATGATGAAGGAATGGGAAAAATTCCAGGAAGAAGCCAGAAACCGGGACCATAGGAAAATTGGAAAAGTATGTTAATTCATGGTCTCCTTCTCTTTTATGCTTCTGTAAGAGAATTCATTCTCTTTTGTTGGTGTTTGTTTTTTTTTTTTTTCCCATTTTTTGACAGTTGGAATGAGAGCCAGTTCTACGACCTAGTTGGGGTCAGTTGTAGTTTTAATTCTACAAACTCAGCTTGCCACTTGCATACAAGTGTTAAACTAGTATTGGGAAGAAGTAATAGGGTAGTCATTTGCCTTAAGGAAGTATATCTTAAACATTTTAATGTAGTGTCTTTTCAGATCTTGCCTAAAGCAGTGTTGGGGTTTTTTTTATAAATATGGTTTGATCTTTCTTTATTATGCGTGTAATTGAGGTAATAGTGAAGTGTATGTATGTGCAGTATTTCAGCTGCTGTTGTGAATATTGTTGACCTATTCCTCTACTAGATTTATATGAGCCTATTTAGTCTTAAATTGAGTGTAAGCGGGAAGATGTTAGATTGACACAGACAAGGATTGTGACCTAATATCCATCATGTTGGCGTGGAGTCTCCTAATTGTTGCCACCTTTGCTATAGTTTTGTTGAGGAGATGGAGTTACAAGGAGGGTATTTGAGAGATGATAAACTTCTGTTGCTGTAACATTTCATTTTTGTGAACAATCTCAACATGTGTGAAGTAGTTGTTGTGCAGTTTTATCTGAAATGTGTTATGGCATTTTCATTTACCTAGGAGCAAGAACTTTTCTTCTTCCATGATTTGAGTCCTGGAAGCTGCTTTTTCCTCCCCAGAGGTGCCTTTCTTTATAACACACTCATGGATTTCATACGAGTGAGTATAAGCTCATATAACACCTAATAAGCTTGGTATCAGTTGTTGATCTTAAGTGATGGACCATTCATAGCACTGAGCTATCCACAGCAAGGGAAGCATCTGTGTGTAAACATATACCAGATTTTCACTAAGTTTGTACAGATCTAACTTTTTTGAAAACAGGATGAAGAGTTAACTTGTGCTTTTTCCAGTTGTGCCAAACATACATGTGCCATAGTCCTTTAGTCTCTCAGTAAATTGCAATCGTAAGAACACGGGTAAAAAGAGTCAGGCTTTTGCTTATCAAAAGCTCTGTCACCTTTTAAATGTTTGATTTGTTTTATAGGAGCAATATCACAGGCGTAATTTTACTGAAGTTGTATCTCCAAACGTCTTCAACAGTAAACTCTGGGAAGCTTCAGGACACTGGCAGCACTACAGTGAAAATATGTTCTCTTTTGAGATCGAGAAGGAAACTTTTGCCCTTAAACCGATGAATTGTCCAGGACATTGGTTTGTACTCTGAATTGAAAACCTTATTTTACTATATTTATCCTTTGTGAGGCCAAGGGAAAATACATGGAGTGCTAATACATGTTATCGTGCATGTTTACAATAGACTACTGAGCAACTGGTGTGTCCAGAGAGCTCCCGTGACAGTGTCCCAAAGCAGACCAAATTCAAGTCTTGCAGGAGTGTCTTTCAGTAAGTCTGCACTGAGTGAGCTAGGTTTGTGGCTGCTAACAATATTTTTATGTACCACTAGTAAATACAAATTATGGTGGATAGAGGTAGGCATCAAATGGTACACTGAAAGAAGGTACGGTCTAGGTTGTTACTCTCGCAGTGTTTTTTCTTAGTGGTCTTTAGCAATATGTTCAGAGTACTGCACTTTTTACCAGCTTTTTAGGGTGCAGACAACCTGAATGAATACTTAAAAATCTGATGAACGTCTATACTGATGTTATTGTAGCTTCTGTATTGTCTTAAATTTTCTATAAGATGGATAAAAAGAAGGTTCTTTTATGTTCCTTCTAGCTTGATGTTTGCCCATCGTCCACGATCCTGGAGGGAATTGCCTCTCAGGCTTGCAGACTTTGGAGTTCTTCACCGAAATGAACTCTCTGGGACTTTAAGTGGCTTGACTCGTGTTAGGCGCTTCCAACAAGATGATGCTCACATCTTTTGCACAATAGAACAGGTAAAAAAACAAACCAACAAACAAAAAAACAAACCAACCAAAGAAAAAAACAAACAAACAAACAAACAAACAAACAAACAAAAAAAAAAAAAAAAAAAAAAAAAAAAAAAAAAAGAGAAACCAACCCGCTAAAACAACACATCCAAAAACCAACAACAATCTTCCACCTGCTAGTCAAGCAAAAAAAACCCCAACTCCTACCCCTCCCAGTGTAAAACAACATAAACCAGAAAAAAGTCCCCCAACTCTAGCTTCTTCTATTGTGTTACTTTGTAGCATAATGCTGGTTTTGATAAGGTTTTTTTTTTGGTAGGTTTAGATTTTCCTTCTTAGTCATCTGGTATTCTGTATTTCTTAACCTTCTTCAATAACGCTCAAGTCAATAGCCTGTTGAGCCTGGCTTCTACGTTTGAAGCTGCCATAATTTGTGTTTATTTTTCTTTTTTTAAATGAAAAAAATGCTTATATTTAAAGAAGGAAACAGTTATTTGAGGGAAGTTCTTGATGATGAGTTACATAATAAGATTTTCTGTATAGAATTTTTCCCTTTAGAAAAGATATTTTGGGCAACTAAACCCCAAAAGGCAAAATTTTTTGTATCTTCCATCTCCCCCTGCAAAGAAAAAAGCTGTTGACCACATCTTGTTTTCCATGGTAATGCTGACTCAATAGATTTTGTCAGCAATGTGATAGATTTTAGTGGAGCATTTGTGAATAAATTGATGTACCCTTGTCAGATTTGACTTAGGGAATTTGGCTGCAGAAGCCCAGGCTCAACAGGAACATTACTTTTCTTGCCATGCTTTGAAGCTGCAACACCTAAGTTCTTTCTTAACCCATTGCCTTGAAGAGGGTTTGTAGTATGTGATTTTTAAAATATTTTTTAAAAATTATTTAATGGACTCCTATATTCTGGTTATGAGGAATTCAGTAAATCGAATTACCTTTTTATGTGAGTAAATTTTAACTGATGTTTTGTTTACATTTAAGATTGAAGAGGAAATCAAGGGCTGTCTTGATTTCTTGAAGTCAGTGTATGCTGTGTTTGGTTTTACCTTTCAACTACATCTTTCTACAAGACCAGAAAATTATCTAGGAGAGTTAGAGATCTGGGATCATGCGGAAAAGGTAATTCATTTAAAAGCAAGCAAACAAATCCCTTAATATATGGATTTGCAGAGATGGATATTTAACTAAGTGCTTTCATGTTGAACAGTGAAATAGCTTATATCAGATGGTAAATACTGACCTTAGTGGAAAAGCTTCTTGAAAAATGTTGCATTAAATGTTTCTGTGTAAAATGGAAACTTTCTGGTGCTTACTTAAGCTCTTATCTTGAAATAATTTCATTTTTATTAATCTTCTTTCCAATTAATCACAGCATTTGTGATTAATTGGAAACTACTCTTTTTTTCAGGATTGTTTGTAATAAATGGTAAATTCTTGAACAATAGGAGTCATGCTGCCTGTTGACTCCCCTTTGTATTTCAAAGGCAAATGCTTTGAGCTACAGTAATGAAAGGTTCTGTTATACCTTTAAAATTATTATTTTATTTTTGTGATTAGCAACTTCAAAACAGCTTGAATAACTTTGGAGAACAATGGCATTTGAATCCAGGAGATGGTGCGTTTTATGGTCCTAAGGTTAGTGAATCAAAATTGTTATACAGCTTTGGGATGGACAAGAATACAGACACAATGCAGGCAAACTATAGTAATTATTCTTTTACTTCACAGATTGATATTAAAATCAAAGATGCTATTGGCAGGTACCATCAGTGTGCTACTATCCAACTTGACTTCCAGCTACCCATTCGATTTAATCTTACCTATGTTGGGTGAGTGGTTGAGCTAAATATCTTCTCCTTTTAAAAGAAATAGCCATTTATTTTAGGAAGTTATTTTCATTATATGTATCTCCTATGAAATAGAGATGGATCAATGATCTGTTGCTCACTTACAGGATTAGCCTGTATATCAGCAGCCTGGTTTGGAGGGGAAACATCCCCAGTTAGTAGAGAACTGAGTCACAAATTTGCAGATACTTCTTCAACATAACAACTCACTTTAATTGTAAATGCTGATGATTTCAGGAAAATTTCATTTTCTGTCTTGTCTACCAGTTCTGAAGACAATTGATCATATATAATGCTAAAGAAAACTTGTTTGATGCAGTTCTCACTTTCAGCCTAGTCACTCTATCTCCTTTGAAGGGCTTGCATACAAACAAATGTCTTAAGGAGCTAGCGTGTTTGTAATAAATACCTCATTCTTTTTTTCAAATAAAGTTAGTTAACTTTTATCAACATAAACCAGGTTTGAGTAGTTATTAAGGAAAATCTTGCTTAGGCTTCTAACGGGGAGGATGGATATTTACACACTGAGTAAATTAATCTTAGTACCGCGTTGACCTGAATACACTTTTTCTGTGTTGTTTTTCTTACTGTGTTTGGATTTGCATGTTGCAAACAACTTGATGGGAAGGGTAGAATAAGAATCTGTTACTTTTTGGTCCAGCTGCATGTTCTACAGTAGATGTCATGGCTCTTTAGTAGGTGGTAATACTGTTACAAACAGCAGCTGTCTTGTTTTAATCATAGGACTGTAGTTTAAGGAAAGAAATTAATAGTAATGGCAGGGAAGAACCTGTGCAAAAAAAAAAAAAAATAAAAGCAAGACATAGCAGAAATCAAAGAGCAAGGAAGAATGTAAAATATTAAAATGCACAGAAATGGAGCTGGGTCAGTTGAGTGTTTTATCAAAATTGAGAGTTTGTGCCTACATCACTAGCTACTGGTATTTTTATTTTAAGTCACTGTGACTATTCAGTATTCCTTTAAAAGCCCAAGTGTCTTAAAGTACATTTTTAATAAAAATGGTAGATTTTACCTCAGTATAACTGTATATTGTCTTTCTGTGAAAAGTAGAATCAAAAATATTAGTAGGATTATCTGTGTGTGAGCTTAGATGTATTTTTAAAAAAGCCCAAACTTTATGTATTCTTTTCCAGTAAGGATGGCGATGATAAGAAAAGGCCCGTGATTATTCACAGAGCTGTTTTGGGGTCTGTGGAGAGAATGATAGCTATTCTAGCAGAAAACTACGGAGGAAAATGGTACGTGGCACAAATGCATTTCTAAGAAGTGTTTAACGATGTAGAAAAAGCTGATCCTCTGTTATGTCCCATGTAGTATAATGCAAAATAGTATCCCTAGAATTTCCTCAAAATTAGTAGGTAAGATTTCAGGAAAAGAAGTCCAGTATTATGGTCTGAGTTGTATGATACACTTTTATTAATAGTCTATTGTTAAAAATTAGATTGGAGGAAAACAAAGCAGAAATAAGAATTGTAATTGAATGTATATGTGCTGCATTATTCTGGTTCCTTTTTTCTTAAAAATCATGCTTTTGTACTGGGAAGATGGTAGACGTATGTAAAGCAATTATACAGGCGTGAATGAGTCCTAATAAGTGATTTTTTTAAAACTTGTAAGATGTATTGTTTAATTTTGAATAAGTTGTGAAGATATTTTTCATAAATTTATTGAAAGTATTAAGGAAGAGTTAATTCCTACTTTCAGCCACCTGGCTGTGCATCTTTCACTATAAAGTTTTTATTTTTAAGTGGAAATTATTGTGGCGGGGGGGGAAATTCTGTTTAAAATTGTGTAGACAGCTAGGAAGTGAACAGAAGATCAAAGTTCTGTGTATGTCATTTTACTGGAATCAGTCTACTTGCTATTAAAATAGCAATTGTGAACTTGGAAAGAGGACGATAACACATTATCAAACATGCTTAGCTAATGTAAATATTTTTATAAAGTACAGTAGTTATTATTGGGGAACACGACTGTATGAATGTGAATGTAAAATACACATTTGTTTCATATTTTTCCTGTGCTGCTTGCCAGGCCCTTCTGGCTGTCTCCACGGCAAGTGATGGTTGTGCCGGTGGGACCCACTTCAGAAGTGTATGCCCAGCAGGTGAGAGTGGGGCCTGCCTTTTCATAGTAGCAAGCCATTTTAGTAGCTCCTCAACTACTTGTCCTAGAACAAAGAAAGACTGCTTTTAACAGTTTTGGAGACGTGCTTGTGGGGGACATAGATTTTTCTATATAGATTGTTTTTTCCTTTAGTAGTTACTGAAGTATGTACATAATAACAGAACCCAAAATACTTAGAAGTGACATATCCCTTTTTCAGGCTTATATATATTTCCTTCTGCATGACAAACCTTACGTAGTAACTAGTGATTAATTACAGAATTATCTCCTTAATTCTGAGTCAGTTTCTGCCATTTCCCAGTGTGTATACTCTTGACTGTTGCACTTGACCATGGCTGGTTTTACCCTCTCCCCTGCTTTTATTTTAATGTAAGCAGAAGTGGGTTTGTTTCTTGTCCTCCTTCTCCTCCTTTCTCAAACTGAAGCAAAGTTTTTGACATTCATCAGTATAGCTGTGTGAGGAGATGAGCAAATATTTGATATGGATGTTACTGTGTATTATCTTCCAGCTGGAGTCCTGCTAAGCCCTTAAGCATATGTGTGTTTTTCTTCAAATAACTTGATTGACTTCCTTAAAATGATTCACAAGAGCGGAATTACGCACATACATGAATTGATTCATTGGGAGAGATCTGGGATTACAGCATGTACAAATTTCATGTTGTGGGATATGTTCTGTAATAATAAGTGCAAACTTACTTTTTTTTAGGTTTGCCGCAAATTTTTTGAAGCAGGATTTATGGCAGATGTGGATCTAGATCCAAGTTGCACATTAAACAAGAAAATTAGAAATGCACAGCTGGCCCAGTATAACTTTATCTTAGGTAATTGCAGCATCTTAAATGATATTCAGAAACATAAGTTTCAATGTTGAACATACAGTTTGTCAAGACTTCTATTTGTAATGTAGGAAGGTAGTTCAATATTGTTTGTGCTGTCTTGCAGTGGTTGGAGAAAAAGAGAAAGCAAATAGCGCTGTCAACGTGCGAACAAGAGACAACAAAGTTCATGGAGAGATTTGTGTATCTTCTGCTCTTGAAAAGCTCAAGAAATTGAAGAGTTCATATGTTCTAAATGCAGAAGAAGAATTCTGATGTTGCTGTTAGGAAATAAAATCATTAGCTGCCCATGTGAAATGGTGTTTTTTTTCCTCCTGTACAGTAGTAATGCTCATTTGAGAGAATAGTTAATGGATACACAAAATAAGCAAATGTTGCTGTGCTGATGCTTCACGAATAGCATGAGAAGACAGAATCAACTGCACACTCCTTTGACAACGCATTTGATTTTAGTCTGCGCAAGTCCCAGAGTGCTTATTTAAAACATCCTTCACTGCTGCTAAAATATGTTGGTTTTGCTGGGGAAATAAATGGGAGCTGCACGCGGCTCAGGAGCGGGAGGCTGGGACATGTACTGGCTGTGCTGTGGTTGCCGAGCTGCTGCAGGTACGCAGCAGTTGCATAGCTCACCTGACGTGGAATCCAAAGCTTGCCAGTTGGTAGGTGCATCAGAAGCATTTTGCTTTAGCTTTGTTGTTTGTTTTTGTTTTTTTTTCATTTTTTGTTTGTTTTTTTTTTGTTTGTTTTTTGTGTGTGTGTGTGTGGCTTTTTTTTTTTTTTCAAATTCAAGATTATATTGATTTATTGAGGGTGAAGGAAGGAATAGCTTGATTTTCTGAATTTGTGTTCACAGCTTACTAATATATTGGTGTCTCTGTTGGAAATCTCAGTGAAAAAAGGCACTGAGTTGGTGTGATAATTGGTTGCTGTAACAGTGATTGCCAAGAATGAAATGGAATTACTTGCCATATCTGTGTGGAAAGTGTTTTATTTTTTCCTCTGTTCGCTGTTTTGGCTTTTTCCCTAAAACAAACCTTTTAAAAAAACAAATTGATTGCTGTATTTTCTCGAGATACTGTGAACGCTGGAAAGTTGAAGATGACAATTTTATAACACAGCATGTTAGAATTTAAATTGGCCATATCAATCTGACTCAGTTATGCTTATAAATTATTTTCAATTTACTGTTGAATAACAGTTACTAGGTGAGTAAGATTTTTTTGAGAGATTAATTTTGCCATTTTTTTTTTTCACTTTTTATACGCAGGTTTTTAGTTAAAAGGGTTAGGTAGTGTTAAATATATTACTCAATTAGCTACACAACTGTAGTTGTGATTTCAATGTCACTGAAATGAAGCACTAAATAGTACTTAGTGCATAAATGTTCTACAAATAGAGCTAGTGTTTTACTTTTGCCTTATACTTGTACAGGCATGTGTTTAATAGACAAAGCCAGACTACTACAAAACCAAAAATAAGCTTATGTGGTGTTAGTGATTTATCCCCTGCTTTTGAAAGGGGGAGGGGGAACACTAAAGGAACAAGGGCTAGGAATGCGTTGGGCCCCACTTTACAGTATTAATATGAGTGAGGGGGTGTGTGTTTATTTGTATTATTAATATCTAGGAAATATTTTCATAGACTACAGCCTGTGATACACCTGTGCCATAATCTGGACAGCAGAATTAACTTTTTTTTTTTACAGGGAATTTCTAGTTTTTGGTGTAATATAAGACCATTTTTTAGTATAAATATATCAGTGTTGCGATTTAAGTTTTCAGCTGACCCGCAGCACTGAGAGGTCATTGGAGGATACAATTCAGAAACGCAATACAAGTTACAATCGCCTGCAGACAGAAGGTTTAGTAAGGCCGGTAAAATGGGGATGCGGTGCGTTTCCTCAGGGCCCGGGCCGAGGGCGCG